CTCCATGGAAGTGGATTTTGTTTTCTGGCTTGACCCCAGAGTTATTCCCTCTACACTGCCTCACTCAGCTCTTCTGAGTGGCTAAAGAAGTCCCTACCCTGCCCGGCCACCTACCAGTAGACCAAAGGGAATGGAAGTTGGCTTTGGCTGGATTCTAGTTGACATGCACACTACACCCACTCTTCCTGACTGCCTGTTGTTGGGAGAAAAGTGAGTGTAGAGAACAACCTGAACTGGCGCCTGGTCCTGGGCTGGCACTGACGATTTGCAAAGTCATCTATGAGCCTCCTTCAGTGTCAATTCTTTAGGAATGGAAAACAAAGCACATTAAACAGCTTGTTTTGCCCAGGCTTGGCGGACTCCCAAGCTGGAAGGCCTGTGTCCAGACAGAGTGATGAGCATGGGCTCTGATTCTTCCCTTCCATGGGGTCCATCATCACCCCAAGATAACCTGGCCTGCTCCTCCTCAGCTTTGTGCTGGGCACCTAGTCCAGCTCTGCCTGTCCAGGTTCAGGATCTGACCCAGTGCACATTGCTGGGAGCTGACAAGGGCCCAAGTGACCACCAGGTGCCAACTTTGAGAGGAGCACAGGCTGCCAGGTGGGGCAGCATCCTTGCAGAACAGGAGCAGTTAAAAACACTGTGAGGTGTCTGAACTGTAACACTAAAGATTTAGAGAAGTTAAGTAAGGAGAAAGTGTTGCTAAGTGTTCTGGACAAAAGGAATGGTCTGTGGAAAGGCTCCCTGCAGGACAGAGCCCTGAATGTTTGAGCAACAGGAAGACCAGTTGGGGGTCACAGTGGGGGACTCAGAGGCTTGTTTACTTCCCCTGACAGAGGGAGGGCAGACCCAGGGCGCCATACCCAGGTGACAACGGGCTCCTACCCAGTGGCTGAGGTACAATTGGGAGGTCATTATAAAACAAAGGCTCTGAAGCCTGTGGCCACTTTGTTTGCTTTTGCAACTGCAGAAGCTCACATACAAGTCAGAGCTATTAATAACATGTTCTCAGTACACATAGCATTTTTGTTTGTTTGTTTTACAAAGACCGATCGTCCAATAATCGTGGTCATTTGCATTTACAACATTCCGCAGAAATACTGGGCCAAAAGACTAAAGAAACAAACAGCTTTGGGGGCCTCCTACTCCAGGGTCCTGGGACAGCTTGTGTGGCTACCACCAGAAGAGCCCAGGGAGAAAGGACCTTCACACTGGGCCCAGCACTGCCCACATGCAGCCCATATGGCAGCAGGTTTGAGAGAACATGCTGGATGGGCAGCAGGGGGCCACCTGGCCACAAGCATCCCCTGCATTCCAGAGCCTCCAAGAGTATTGCTGACTAGTATCACAAACTGTTTTGGTAAATGTTCAATTAAATACAGGAGAAGAGAAAGGAAAATTTCAGCTGATACCTTTGGCTAACAGAATATTAATTCTCGGTCCCAAGTATCTTGTCCAGTCACTGAGTCCATGCTGGGAGCTTCTGTTCTCTGTGATCAAGGTATAACCAGATCAATGGGAATTAGGAGTTGGCAACACCAGACAGAGTGGAGATTTGGAAGACGAAGTTAAAACAATGGTGTTAGGTGAAGAGGACTGATTGAGTAGCTGGCTTAGGAACAGGTATGTATCCAGTGGCTTCTCACTGGTCAGTCTCAGCTTCCAGGAAACACTTGTGGACCTTGTGAACATACAGTATGCTTTGACCCACTCCTACTAGTCTAAGTGGCACAATGGGAGTATAAGCATGTGTGTTTTTTTCAGAGCTCTCAGAGTGATTCTCCTGTGCTCCCTACACACCTGGCCTCAACCCACAGCTGGAGGATGAGCAGCGATTTCCTCTTGTGTTGGTCCAACCTACTGTGCTGTATAATTTAAAATACATCCAGAGTGAGGGATGGAATCTAGAGGCCCCTCTGATACAGGGAATCCTCTCTGCTCTAGTTACTGGTCACCAGAGAGCAAAAGAGACTCCACAAGTTATTGATCAATCCTCAGATCCCTGAAAATCTGAGGTCCAAGAGATCATTCACCCATCCTACAGAGAACAGGGATAAGACCTGCACCAGCTCACACCACCTACTGGAAGTGGACTCTGTGCCAGAGCCATGCTATAACACTGAGTCAAGTCCCATGGTCCAGGACGACACAGTCAACTAGCTGCTTTTAGCTCTTCTTGCTGGACCTCATTGAAAGGAGACACTTGGATATCAAAATCCAACTTGCTTCCCATAGTGGAATATGACTAGGCCAGGGAAGGACCATGCAGATCTCAGCCCAGGGTCTAAGCTGACCTTGACAAATCCTTCAGTCTCCCTTTCTGGAGAAGAAAGGAGCTTGGCTAGAAGAGCTTAGGTTCCTTTCCATCTTAAAATATTAGGTCATCTGGAAAATCATGATGTGTTTTTCTATGCGAAAATACATCATGACTTTCCTAATGACCCAATATGAAGCTGGGGTTCGCCTTGCAGCCTAGTGGTTAAGGGAGTGGATCCCATGTGGTCAATCATGGTTCAAATCCCAATCCCAGAAGATGCTTTCTCTCTCTCTCTCTCTCTCTCTCTCTCTCTCTCTCTCCCTCTGGCAATTAAAAAATACACATATAAAGTTGGAGTAAAAAAGGATGGCAAGAGTTACTGTCTCTACTTTCATGGAAGATGCTCTGTACGATTGTTATTACCAGTGTCCCCTCATTTCCTGAGTGACAGGCCAAGAATCAGTTTCCTCTCTTGATGGACAGAGTGATATCAGGACAAGGCAGGGGCAGGAGAAGGGTCATTAAGCTGTGGCTCTCAGAGCTGAGCGGCTGGGAGTGTCAGCCCTAATCGGGGATTAGAGGGAATCTAGGTAGGGGAGGGCAGACAGAACCTCCTGCAGGGGTGGCCACAGGGGGCAGGGCACCCCTAATGCGAACACCAGCTCATCCACACTGTCATGACTGTCACACAGCCTGGCTTAGCACACTGGGATGTATGTGACAAGGCAGTAGGAGGCAGCTGGGTTACCCAGATCCTATCTGCCTGCAAAACCTACCATTTACATTCAAATAAAGTGACACTTCCAGGCACCAGGGCTTAGCAATTCTGGGAAAGGAAAGCAACATCCACAAGGAATACCACTGAGCTAATCAATGTTCACGAAGAAATGCCAGGGAAGGCTCTGGGATACTTGAACTTGGTCATTATTGCCGCTTCCAGGCAGGAGCTCTGGAAAAAACTGATGTCTAAGACTGCAGTATATGGCCAATAGCAGAGCGAGAGAACAGAAAAAAATGCAAATGAGCAAGGTCTCCCTCCACTCCTTGAACACAAAGCCCGGTACACACAGACCCAAGTGATACAGGTAAAAGGTTTGCATGGAAACTTTCTAATATTTCCTTTAGTGTTCTCAGACATATTTCACCAACTCAAGGCAAATGCCAGGGCAGGGACTTCCTCCTCACTCTCTCTCGCACTCCAGGCACATGAGAATCTGGAAGTCTTGTATCTAAGGTGATCCTATTTTCTGAAGCCCACCAAGAAATGTCAGAAAATTAAGCAGTTAAGTCAGGATCAGTGCAAGGTTACAGAAGGTGGGGTCAGTGCTTCTGAGCTTCACAACTGGCCAGGGGTCCTGGTGTCAGAAGTGGGAGATCTTACAGATCATTCACCCATCATTCACTCACATCCTACAGAGGTTAGAAACAAGACACACACCAGCTCGCACTACCCACTGGAAGTGGACTCTGTGCCAAAAGCCATGCTATGACACTGAGTTAATTGGGGTCAGGGGCAGCAGCTTTGAGAGCAAAAAATCTGTTTGCTCCTAGGTATGGGGACAAGGACTTGAGGGCTCCTATGAGAGCCAGCTGGTCCCCCTGAGTAGATGTCCCAATCTGCACAGCTGGGCACCACATCTGGATGCCAAGAGAGAAGTCAATCAATTGACCTTAAAACCTCTTCATCCAACAGGTACAGTTACTCTTTTCAAACGTTCAGAATTGTTGGCTTTATGCTAATTTATGCCCAAAGCTTTTTTGTTTTGTCCCATGGCCATGTATGCCAAGGCCATGGCACAGAGACCAGGCACAAGACCCACTGTGGAATATTTTGAAGGTTGATGGGTCCAGACACATAGCATTTGCTGTTTCCAAAGTGAATGCCACCGATGTCTTCACTGAGTTGCATGAGCAGGTGAGGAATGGGTACTTCTGAAAGCAAGGAGCAGCAGCTCCAGCTGGGAAGTACCTCCCCAGCCCACCAGGTACCCTGGTGGAACCCTCCTATGGAACGCCTAATAACAGAGACGCCAGAAGCATGTCATCAGACCAAGATGTCTTAAATGTAAAAATAAGTCATCACGTCATTAATGATGAAAGAAACAACGACAGGATGGTGAGGCACCTGAGCTCTTGAGGCCAGAGGCTGCTGAGTTCACATCCCACCTCTGTCACCCACAGGCTGTGTGACTCCGGGCAGATTATTTAAACTCACCAGGCCTCAGTTTCCTCATCTGTAAAATGGTAACAACACCTGTGTCCCAGAAATTAAAAGGATTGTAAGAGATGATCTATACACTGAAAGGCCCACATACAACGTCTGGCAAGCAGCTGGTACTCAACAAATGGCCATTATTTTTATACACCAAGAAATCCAAACCTCTTGGAAATACATGCTTGGTGAACTTCTGCTCTATCTGAGATGGAAGCATATTTAGGTTGGTTATTCATACATCAGGTGTAGTAAACACCCAACTGGGTACCAGAATCTACCCCTAGGGGCAGGGCCCTTCTGACAAGTCCCTCCCGCAGCTAGTCTGTCCCCGAGAGGAGGCAGGGCCTGGAACCACTTAACGTTTGGTGAATAAAATCTAACCAAGGGTCCTCCACTCCCTGGAGTCTTTCTCCTAACTTTCAAAGATGCTCTGTGCTGCAGAGAGGGCTCCCTTTAGTCAGCTCCACCCGACCCTGATGGCGGTCCACCCTCGCCCCCAGACCACCGACCGCTCTCCCGGAAACGCACCCCTTTCCTCTCAGCCTCGTCGTTCAGGGCGGTCACCCAGGCAGGCTGCCACTGGCTCCTCCAGCTGGTCAGAGTCAGGATCCAGGAGAGCACCGCGTCCGACTCCGGGCGCCGCCCCTCGGCAGGTTCCGCCGCCCGCCGCCGGGGCCCGGGTCGCGCTCTAGCCAGCGCACACTGCGCCAGGTACAGGCCCACGGTGACCAGGGCAGCGACGAAGAGCGACACCAAGACGAGCCACTGGATCTCACCGAGCCATGAGTCCAGTTGGACCATGGTGATGGCGCATACCCGGCTCACCTCGCCCCAACTTCCTCGAACGGCCCCCGGGCCAGGGCGCAAAGCCGGCAGCGGCGAGCTCAGCACATCCGCAGGCGCCGATGGGGCTGTGAGGCGTGCGGAGGGGGCGCGGCGAGGCCAGAGCCTGGCGAGGCGTGTGGTCAGGAGGCCGGAGGCCGGACTGGGCGGCAGGGAGGAAGTGCCCGACCCGCGCACGGCAGGCACGGGCCC